ATTAGGGTTAGGGTTTGCTTAATTATTAAAGTTAGGGTTAGGTTTAGGGTTATGTTTAGATTTAGAGTCAGTGTCAGGTTTAGGGTTATCGTTAGTGTTAGGTTTAGGGTTAGGTTTAGGTTTAGGGTTAGGTTAAAGTTTAGGTTTAGTTTTAGGTTTAGGGTTAGGGTTAGATTCATGGATAGGGTTTAGTAAGGGTTAGGGTTAGGTTTAGGGTCAGGGTTAGGTTAGGTTTACTGTTAGGTTAAGGGTTAGGGTTACGGTTATGGTTAGGGTTGTGGTTAGGTTTAGAGTTAGGGTTAGGGTTAGGTTCATGTTGAGGTTAAAGGTTAGGGTAAGAGTTAGGTTATGGATAGGGTTGTGGTTAGTGTTATGGTTAGTGTTACGGTTAGGTTAAGGGTTAGTTTTAGTGTTAGGTGAGGGTTAGTGTTAGGGTTAGGGTTAGGATTTGGTTTAGGGTTAGTATTAGGGTTAGTGTTAGGTTCATGGTTAGGGTTAGGGTTAGGGTTAGGTTAGGGTTAGGGTTAGGGTTAGGGTTTTTGTTAGGTTCAGGGTTATGTTAATTGTTAAGGTTTGGTTTAGGGTTAGGCTTAGGGTTAGGGTTAGGGTTAGGATTTGGTTTAGGGTTAGTATTAGGGTTAGTGTTAGGTTCATGGTTAGGGTTAGGGTTAAGGTTAGGTTAGGGTTAGGTTTAGGGTTAGGGTTTTTGTTAGGTTCAGGATTAGGTTAATTGTTAAGGTTTGGGTTAGGGTTACGGTTAGGGTTAAGTTTAGGGTTAGGTTTAGGTTAGTGTTAGGGTTAGGGTTAGGGTAATGATTAGGGTTAGGTTTAGTGTTAGGTTAGGGTTAGGGTTAGGTTTAGGCATAGGGTTTGTTTTAGAGTTTGGATTAGGGTTACTTTTAGGGTTAGTGTTAGGGTTAGGGTTAGGGTTTGGTTTAACGTTATGGTTAGAGTTAGGGTTAGGATTAGGGTTAGGGGTAGGTTTAGGGTTAGGTTCAGGTTTAGTGTTAGGGTTAGGGTTAGGGTCAGGGTCAGGGTCAGGGTCAATGTCAGGGTTAGGGTCAGGACATAGATTGAGTGTTACTCTCATTTTGGTAACTTAAATGTAGTTAATGTGATTTCATCAGGGCTGTCATCTAGGAAACTATGGTGCTATGTTTGTCTATTTTGTTGTATCCCAACTTTGGCACTACAAAAAATTTAGTTTGGTGAAGTTTGTGTTTGCATGTGTGAGGTAAGTATTTTGATTGAGTTCATGTAATCTCAGCAGGAGATACACATGAACAATGGCAGTGTCATGTGAGAGTTAGGTATTAAATGTATTTAGTGTGATTTCATCAGGGCCGTCTTCTATGAAACGATGGAGCTTGTTTTGTCTATTTCGTTGTATCTGAACTTTGGAACGACAACAAAGTTTATTTTGTAAAGATTGTGTTTGCCGATGTTGGGTAAATTACACTGAGTGAGTTTCATGTATTCTCAGCAGGGGATTCACATTGCACTGTAACTGTGTTAAGTCTGAGTTATGTATTAAATTTGGTTTTGTATAATTTCATCATGGCTGTTATGTATGGTGTGTGTGTGGCGTGTGTGTATGTAGTGTATGTATGTAGCGTGTGTGTGTGGTGTGTTTGTGTAGTGTATGTGTGTAGTGTATATATGTGGTGTGTTTAGTGTGTGTGTAGTGTATTGTGTGGTATATGTGGGTGGTTTGTGTGTCCGGTGTGTGTGTCTAGTGTATGTGTGTGGTGTGTGTGTGGTGTGTGAGTATGGTGTGTGTTTGTAGTGTATATATGTGGTGTGTAGGTTTGGTGTGTGTGTTTGGGGTGTGTGTAGTATATGAGTGTGGTGTCTGTGTTCTCTCTGTGTGTGTGTGTGTGTGTGTGTGTGTGTGTGTGTGTGTGTGTGTGTGTGTTGTGTGTTTGGTGTCTGTAGAGTAGTGTTTGTCTGTGTTGTGTGTGATTCGTATGTGTGTGTAGTGTATGTGTATACTCTATGTGTGTTGTGTGTATGTAGAGTATGTGTGTACTGTATGTGTGCGGTGTGTGGGTGTAGTGTATTGTGTGGTGTGTGTGTTTGGTGTGTGTGTAGTGTATGTGTGTAGTCTATGTGTGGTGTGTGTGTTTTGTGTGTGTAGTGTAGTGTATGTGTGTAGTGTATGTGTGTAGTGCATGCGTGTGTTCTGTGTGTAGGGTATGTGTGTATTGTATGTGTGTGGTGTGTATATGTGGTATGTATGTGTGTACTGTATGTGTGTAGTGTATGTGTGTGATGTATTGTGTTTAGTGTATGTATGTGGTGTGTGTGTGCTTTGTGTGTGTGTGTAGTGTATTGTGTGGTGTGTGTGTTTGGTGTGTGTGTAGTGTGTGTGTGGTGTGTGTGTTTGGTGTGAGTAGAGTAGTGTTTGTTTGTGTTGTGTGTGTTTCATATGTGTGTGTAGTGTATTTTGTAGGGCATGTATGTGTTCTGTGTGTAGGGTATGTGTGTATTGTATGTGTGTGGTGTTTATATGTGGTGTGTATGTGTAGGGAGCCGTTCCTGCATTCTCCATTACAATGATGGTGCCTGCAGGCACCGAATGTAAATTATTTCGCAGGCGCTGGGTAATTTCCATTTCTTTGATCTCTGCCTATCCCGTGGCTCATATGGCCTGAGGAGCTGAAGCCATTCATAGGGTGACACGTCCCAGGCGGCCACTGCCAGCCTTTATTAAGGGATGGGATTCTTGGCTCGGGGTCTCCGCTCTGGTAAGCTTATGCTCTCCTCTCTCAAGATGCATTAAAGCTTTCCTGCAGAAGGATCCGAATGTCCTGTGTGATTCTTGCCGGCGAGAATATCGCGCGGGACATCTATGTGTGTAGTGTATGTGTGTAGTGTATATGTGTGGTGTGTGTGTGTTTAGTGTGTGTGTAGTGTATGTGTGTGATGTATTGTGTTTAGTGTATGTATGTGGTGTGTGTGTGCTTTGTGTGTGTGTGTAGTGTAAGTGGGTGGTGTGAGTGTGTTTGTTATGTGTGTGTAGTGTATGTGTTTGGTGTGTTTTGTGTGTAGTGTATGTGTGTGGTGTCTTTGTGTAGTGTATGTTTTTGGTGTGTGTGTGTTTGTAGTGTATGTGTATGTGTGTAGTGTATTTGTGTGTTGTATGTGTTATGTCTGTGTGTTTAGTGTATGTGTGTAGTGTATGTGTGTAGTGTATTTGTGTGTTGTATGTGTTATGTGTGTGTTTAGTGTATTGTGTAATGCACACACACACCACCTACATACACTACACAAACACAGCACACACACAGCACACACACACCACACACATATTACACACACACACACACACACACACATTCACACACACCATGTTGCATTATGTCACATGTACCATGTTTGTGGCGTGTATGATCCATGTATGTCACATGTCACAAGCATGTCACACGCATGTCGCATGCATGTCACATGTCACACGCATGTCACACGTCTATGCAGAATGGGCACGTACAGGGCTTCTTTGAAACACTGGCTGACGTTGTCTCTGAGGCTGGGTCCCCTCACAAATCTCCTCAGAGTTGCTGTGAGCAGTTTCTGGTCCAAAGCTGATCTGTGGTTGGTGTTGTTTAGCACAGTGATTGACGGGGGAAGAATTTCCTCATGAAACCCGGCAGAAGCTGAAAAGGGTTCTAAACACAAAGGAACAGCGGCCATCACAGCTTCCGGGTTCCAGCATTTTCTCAAATGGGCTCTGTTTGCTACAAGTTTCTGACTCAGCATTAGTGGCAAAACCGCCAGGCTCTTTAAAGAGGTGCAGCTATCAAACAATTAATTGTTGTTTATGAGCAACGAATAGCACACTTCTTGGTGGTGACCTGAGCCTAGAAATTCCCATGAAGCCTAGACTGTCAGAAAGCCAAGGAATAGGATAGGGCAGCTGCCACCTTAATGTCAGCTGTGCTGTTTATCAGATTAAAGACTCATGGACAGAAATAAGATAGAGGAGATATACAGTAAAGACTGATTCAGATGAAGAAAAACCTTTAAACAGTTTACAGTGTATTTAAAAATATAGGTAGGCTTGGGAGAGAAAAGATAAAGGATAGAGAAAGTCCTTAAAAGATGCAGAGCAGCTGGCACACACCCTTAATCTCAGTACTTGGGAGGCAGAGGCAGGTAGATCTCTATTATTCCAAGGCCAGCCTCATTACAGAGTGAGATCGAGGGCAGCCAAAGTTACACAGAGGAAACCTGTCTCAAAAAACAAAAATTAAAAATAAAATAGAGTTTTTAAAAAAAGGCTATGTAAAGATGGAAAATAATACAGTCTCACTACTGTATGTTATTGTGTTTTCTTTGAATTGTTTGGTTACTGAGGAAGCAGCAACAGCTGCTAAAAGATGTTTGATTATAAATGCTGCTGGATTAATCCAAATTATTTATTTTGAAAATGCTTTGACTCAAAATTTAAGTCTACGGACATGTTACTTCAGAAAGAGATACTTGTTTTGTTTCACAGAATATGAGAAGCTGTGGATTCCTTTCAGACTAATATTGTTTGATCAATCAAGACCCCTGAAACAGTAGCCCACATGATCCAACATCCAAAGCAGCTAAGACGATACAGTCTTTGAAGAAAGAAAAGAAGATATCGGGAGATAGAAAGACCTTCCATGTTTATGAATCCATAGAATTAACATAGTAAACATGGCCATCTTATTAAAATCTTTGTGAACCACTGAAGATGGGTTTAGTGAATCAAAGGGAGGCTCTGATCCATGAGGTCAGGCCAGTGGGGTGCCTGATTGTTGGCATTCTTCCCCTTTGTTTGTTACAAAAGATGAGGAACTAGCAAGGGGTGATTGTGAGGCAAGAATGAGGGTGCTTTGGTATTTAGACTGCTTTCTGTGGTCTGGGATGTTATCATCTTTGGGGCATTGCTGATATCACTATCAGGGCATAGTCATGAGCCTTCAGCTCTGTGGCTAGCATTTGGTACTTCTGCAACAATAACTGACTAATTGATTAGAGATGTTTTAATTCATTGGAGGAACATAGAGAAAACATCAATAAAGCAGGGTACAATTATTGAAAGCAGAAAAATGAGATTGAGAGGCATCAGGAAGGAAAGTATTCACTTCCATATGGGGTTCTTAAGAGCAGAGAGGCTGGAGGCTGGAGTCAGTGCTTACATTTTTGGAGGTCTGTTTGTAGTAGCTGGATTTTGTTTTATATTCAACCTGATTGGATGACATAGATGACACATTCCTTTTGGAGGAAGAGGCAAAGGCCACCTTTTCAAGCTGTAAGAGTATCTAGTCCCTGTCCATCTTGGAGTACCACTGTAGCCATGGAGTCAATTAGTCCTTGAAGAGTGAGTATGGTTGGCCATCTGCTGGAGATCCTGGATGAACTGGGAAGAAAACAGATAACACAAGGTCAGGGAGCCTGTTAGTACTGCTGTCCTGGTGATGAAACATGCAGATATTCCTTGACAGCCAGGAGGGGCAAAATTCAAACCACATTTTATCTTGTTGGGCAATTATTGAGTCCATGACTGGAATTGATTGGGGTCCTTTTTTATGCCTTAACCCCAAATTGGAGAAGAGAAATAGTAGTGCACAAACTCCTGATCACCTAGCAGGTAGATGATGTAGACTTGAGTAACACAAAGAATGGAGGTGTTATGGACTATGGAGCACTGGGTCTGAAATAGAGTGTTGACTGAGGCTTAAGGTTTTTGTTTGTTTGTTTAGGAGATTTAATGCCCATACAAAAATACAAAACGCACAGGGCCTGAGATGAATGGTAAGGTAAGGTTATTTGACAAGGTTATGAGAGAAGCTGTTAAGTGGCAGTTGTAAGATAGTCCCAGGAGGCCCTTTCTGCCGACCGACGCAGGAACTAGGTGAGTGAGCCTCTGCACTTACCCAACTCCCACCCAAACCATCACTCACCCCAACCACCCCCACACCCCCGCCAGTGCCTGCCTTCTTGGGGAAGACACGCCCAGGAAGGGAAGACCTCCCTGTTCCCTGAATCTGGTAGCACCCCACTCTTCCACCCCTTTCTGACAACCGACCCAGGAATGAGGTGAGTGAGCCTTGGCCCTTACCCAACCCCCACCCAAACCATCACTCACTCCGACCACCCTGGGCCTGCCCCCACCTGCTTGGGTTAGACACCCACAGACAAGGAGGAGATCCCTGAATCTGGAAACACCCCACTCTTCCATCTCTTTCCGCCAACTAATCCACAAGGAATGAGGAGACTACCAGGAGAGGCAAGACCATCCAGAGTTGTGGACATTGAATTCCTGGCCCCCACACACCACTGGGTCACAGGAGGAGATAGAGAGACCCCAACTGCACCCACTAAAAGAAGATATGGAAAGAAGACAGAATAAGATTTCACTCAACA